CGCCACGCCGCGCCGCACCTGCACCCGCTCTCGACGCAAGTGGTTATATTTGTAATCCTCGGTATACTCTCTTCTTTCCCTGCGGTCTCTTCGTGCAGACCAAGTATGTACGCGGAAAAGAAACGGCCTGCACTCTCGGCCGACTGCCAGACTATATTTACTGCAACGTGCCGATTACACCTGTGAAAAATCCTGTGGGAAGCGGAGAGAACGCGTCCCGCGATATCGATTGATCACCGAGGGGGTGGTAATCGTTCGTGAAAGCCCACCCGAACATCGAAGTGTGTCTTTCGACCAAAGTAAAGTTTTATAAATGCTAAATGAATTAAGAAAACCCGGCCCAGTTTTTTTGCTTGTAAGAGTGTTAGTTTTATCGATTTATTTATATACTTATCGATTAAGAGATAATAATAATAATAAATGTAGTTGTGATGGATGCGAGAAAATAACGGAGAGTTTTCTGGATAATTTTTTAATAGATATGTTTGGTTTAGAAATGTGAAGCATAGAGATAGTGATGATGGCGATGAGATCCACGACAATACGAATAAAAATAATAATAATATAAAATTTAAATCTTTCTTAAAAACCTGCATCTCGATAATTATTCGTCTGCAACGATGTGCTTTTATAGCATTCTTAGTTTAAGAGATTTCAAAAGATGATTACACCATTAAAACACAATTAAAAAAATTAGAAGCTTGAAACTAACCATTCATCTAGAAAATTTGAAAAAGTGACAATTTTTAACCCTTAAATGCCACCCGGGGTCCAGCGGACCCCAGACCCTTTACAATGATATATTTTCAAATGTTCCCCCCAAAAATGGAGCTCATGCTCCCATTGATGATAGTTGAGAGATTGACCTATCCGGTTATACACTTAGCAGTACTCAGTTTACTTAATTTTTTATACTATGTTGAAATTGAAATTTTAACAATATAAACATTTTATTCTCTTTTCTAAGCCTTGAACAACATTGAAAATAATTTTCATAACTAAATATCAAAAAATCAATGAGTAAGGAGACATTTTTCATGCAATGCTGGGGTCTTTTAGACCCCATGTGTCATTTACGAGATTCTTAAGAGGTGTGGCATTTAAGGATTAATGTGAACAATGTCAGTAACGTTCCTACGTTATTCATAACAATATTGAGTGATATCAATGCAAATGTTGAAAAACGGATCAGCTTTCTGTCATAATTTAACGCCGCCGATCGATGTGACCGAGTGAATTGATTTAATTGGCAGACAGAGAATAATCGCGGCAAAGTGGACCACCGCGATTGTCTAGGCGAAATAATAACAACGATATTCTCGTCCGCCGTCTACGTCATGGCCGTGACGTAAGCAGATATCGGGCACAAACGGTGACGAGCGTTTGGAAATGTATCAGACGAGCGCGCGAGGCGGCGATAACCCAAATCGCTCCGTAATAACGTTCAATTATTTAGCTGCCGCAGCCACCGCAAATGGCACGAAGAAGAAACGAGTTACAATTATCGGTGATCAAATATTACACAGGTGAAGACATTCGCCGCTTTTTTCAAATCGATTAATATATCCCTGACGCGAAGACTGACGCTTGCATATCTCGCTTTAATATCGAAAGCCAAATTAGGTGAACGAGCTTATGATATGTCTCATCGTCCCGAAACACAATTATTAAAATAGAACCGAAGCGATTGGTGTCTATTAGAAGCAACTGTAAAAAGTTAATGTGAATGCACAAAAATCTTCCCTTCGCGTTATCAAGATAACCGCGCGCAACAAATTACATTACGTGTTATATCAATTTCGATAAATTTTCGCTTTTACAACTGAAACTAAAGCACGAGATATTATGTGACCTAGATATTGAGCAGCACACGTTGAATATAAATAAATATTTTAACAATTTAGTAATATGTTCGATAAAAAGTTTTAATATCGTATTGTATGCACGGTCTTAATTATACGCGGATTAAAATGGAAAAAATTAATTGAACGATTTCTAGATTGCAATTTGATTTTTTGTATAAATAAATTTGGCACATTAACCCTAGGGAGTCTTTCTGGGGTAATACGTTACCCCACGCAAAATTCAAATTGCGCCCCTGCCTTAGAAAGGTTAGTTTTCATACCGAGACCCTAACCATAATTCAGTTTAGTCATCCGGCAGTCGACCTCCGTCATTCAGCGAGTGCGTTAGATCCGTGCAGCAACTGAAAACCGAAAAAGAAAATCGTTTGGGGTAACGTATTACCCCCTTTGGCCGTTTACGTTCGACATTTACCACAGTAGAGTATATTTCAGATTTTTTGTGAAAATCGGTAACAAAAAATTATACACTTTATAGCACTCCCCGGAAAATTCTACCCCTGTTTCATATACAATTGTTTAAGCTTCGGTCAATTATTTCATTTTTGCTGTTCTTGCACAGCAACTGATTAAAACTTTGTAAAGTTTTTGTGGAGTTAATTTTACTGTTTCCATATACTTTTATAACTTTTGACTACCTTTCAAATAAATAATAATCGACAGAATCTGTTTTACTTTCTATTTCTTGCGATTTTTCCCATCCGACAGTTTTTCATCATTTCCTCTACTTCAGATGTTCAAAGAAATATGTTTTTTTTTTAAGAAACGAAAAAATCGCTTACATGCCCTTGAAGGTTGTCTATTTGTCTTTCAAAATCCGTTGGAATTTTTAAAATCGGTTAATTTTATGAAAAACTACGGCATTTTTTATAAAAATTGTCATTTTAGCCCAATTTTTGGTTCTTTTTCTTGTTTTTCGAAATTTTTTTACTGTTTTTTTTTTACTACCGCTAATTGATGACTACTATTGTCTTCCCTATTAAAGAACAAACAAAATTATCTATTAAAAAGTTATCTAACAACAAATAGAAATATTACACACGCGGTACAAGTTTGGGGTAATTTATTACCCCGCTTGGCCTTTCACGTATGAGAAAATTCACAAAGACTCTCTAGGGTTAAGCATTAACATTACATTATTATGTTCCAAATTTTACAGCTTAATAATAAAAGTTCGATATTGGCAATTGGATCCCTCAACAATTTTATTATTCCCGAGCAGTGTTTATAATTTTATGAAAACATCGATTTTTATAAAAATAACTAATAAAATGGTATTAAATTTAACGTTTTTTACATCGACATTAAGATAGGTATCAAATTTTCTTCACTACCTAATATGATCTTTTCTCTTTTATGACGTTTGCAATTTGATAACATCTTATAATCTCACAGTGTTTGTATTTTACAGAACAATTTATTTCGAAAAATTCCATTCATAATTTTCTCATTTGTTATTCGATTATCAATTATTATCAATCGATTATCAATCAAATTAGGTTGCAGAATATGGAATCTCAATATTCAGACAGGATCTATAGTGCATAAAAACGTCGACGAAAGGAAGCTGTGAAACCGTCTACACACATATGTTATCAATAAAATAAAAAAACCGCAATCTTATCGATGGTCGAAAATTTCGATCGAACGAACAAAACGCTCGAGTACTACTAGCATCTTCAGCGCGGAACCATCACCGTCATCACCACCACCACCACCATCATCATCATCATCATCATCATCATCGTACATCACCATCACCATAACCATCACCAGCAGCGAGCAGCTTGCGGGAGTAATCCGCGGTCTTGCGCCCCGCGTATCTGACTTACACTTGTTCCAATGATCGTGACGTTGCGCCGCGTGGTGCTCGAGGTTCCGATGATGGTCGTGGTTGTTGTTGGTGTCCGCGGCGATGGTGAGCTGGTGGTACGGCGTGGCGGTGGACAGATGGATCGGCGCCGTCGCCGATCGCTCCTGCTGCTCGACGCCCAGATGCCGGACCGCGGCGACGGCGGCGACGTCGCTGGTACCGCGATGCTGCTGATGCTGATGATGGTGATGCGCCGCGACGCCGACGGCGGCGGCGGTCGCTTCCGTGCTGCCAATGCTGTCCTCGACGGTGGTGCGCATCGCGCGATCGTACGCGATCAGCGGCGCTACGGCGCGGCGCTATGGCGACCTCGCGCTTCCTTCAATCGCGACGGTTGCCGATCATCGGGCGACCGTGCCGATCGCGCGTGGCATCCCGCGCGATTCACGATGTAGAGGCCGAAAGACGCGTGCGCGCGTCGAACAATAAAAACAGTTCGAGACCGTCGTCCGATATAGCTGCCGATTTATAGATCCGCGGGAATTCCGCGAGGCGTCGCGGATAGATCCGCGAAGATTGCGTATTGGAACGCGAGTCGTTCGGCAAGTTCGATCGGCGCGGGCATCGGAGATCTAGATCCTGACGGATGATCACCGAAATATCGGCAGTTCGAGAGGTCCCTTTAATTCATATGAGATCGTACAAAATGAGATCAGTGTGTGTGTGTGTGTGTGTTGCACAGTCCACGCCGATCGCGAGTTGTCAAAATACGCGCGTCGCGCTCAAAGAGATGCGAAAAACTGGTCATTCAGCATCGATACATCCCTTTAACAATGAGGCATGCGCGCCGCGCCGGTCGTCGGATGGATGGCAGGGGGGAGGGGAAAGAAAATCAAGTAGAAACGGCAATGAGGAGGTCAGACTCTCCCGCAAGTCTGGGAGAGCGCATGGTCGAAAGATCCGTCGCGCGAACTATCGCCGGTCGAGACCGAGGATGCTCTCTCGATTTGCTCGATTATCGATCAGTGGAGGAACAATACATGAAGAGAGCCGAGTTAGGGAGAAAAAGATCAAGGGAAAAGGGGAAAGAAGGAAAGAGGAAGGAAAGCGAAAAAATTGGAGCAGAGAGAAGATGAGGAACTCCTGCCGCTGCCGATGGAGAATGCGCCCCGCTCCGTGATTCCCACACGCAAAACACACACACACACACGTACACAAAAAAAACAGGAACGGAGCGGCAGCAACTCCTCCCGCGCGACAACGAATGAACGAACGTGATATATAGACAGCCACACGTGATGTGATGTGCGATGGGTATCACCGACCTGCGTGCGTCGTCGTAGGGCAAGGCGAGTCCTTCCTGATGATGTTATCGGAGGTCAGCGCCCCACCGAGGAGCCCGAATACTTCCGCTCTGGGCACTCGCATGCAGAATCTTGAATTGTCAGCGTCGCCGCTTTATCGTTGCCGCCACGTGTTGGTGGACGGCATCGTTCTTCCTTTAGACACGCACCTGTTTGTACTTGGTCCTGCTCGATCGCGACGTGGGCCGGCGATCGTTGGGGGGGAGGGATCCGTCACTCCGGAGCACCGAACGCGACGATCAACACGCGGAGATACAAAGCCACCCTCGTGAAAGAGAAAAACGCTCGATTCCGCACGGTTTCTGAATGCGCGAAACGAAACGACGGTTTGCTGAATGCTCGAACCGACGTTAAGACGCGATAGAGACTGAACGAAAGGGAGTGAGAGCGAACGCGAGAGACGACAGGTGAAAGATCCTGAGAGAGTTGAACCTTCGGCTATACTCTTGAGAGAGCGGTACACTCGCACGGGTGGCCGGCCGCCGCGTAACTGAGTCTGGATCGCGCGCGTTCCTCCGCTATATTAAAACCGTACTGTGTGTAGCGGCGGCAACGGCGGCGGTGGCGTAGGACGGCGCGGGGCGAAGCGGAGCGGCCGAACGGTAGACGACGGCCGCGGCGGGAGGCGAACGGCGCTAACGATGACGTCACCGCGGACGTCATAACCCAGGACGCACACACGGCGGCACACCGGCGGCGGATCGATGGACCCGGCCTGAGTATGAGCGCACCTATTGGCCCACGCGGCCGATGATGCTGTTACGGTGACGTCAACACGCCACCCACCCCGGTCGCCCGGCGGTCCTCCTTCGCCCCCTCACTCCGCCCCGCTTCCGCTTCCATACCCTCCGGCACCCGTTTCAACCCCACGCAAACCTCGAGGCGCGAGGCGGTGCGGTGGGGCGGTGGCGGCACGCGGACCCGACGACGTCGCCGCGTCGCTCAAGATAAAGTGGGAAGGAAGACGAAAGCGAAGGAATAACGGAGAAAGAGGGAAAACGAGCTTTAAATTCGCTCCCCTTCGTTCAACATTCTCGTTTCTGCTACTCTCTCGTTAATTCTCGTTTCCTTTCAATATTGCACGCGTTGCCGCGGTGTTCATGAATGTAACATACCTAATTACGTCACGATTATGACGTTGTTCGCTTTTTATACGATATATGATATATGATACGAAATTTTACATGTGTATAATTAAAAGTGGATTTTTATGATTGCAGGATGTTTCATGAGATTACAATGGATTACAATGTTATGCATTGTACATAAGACGTTTTCTAGATAATTACGTAAATTCTTATTTCATTATTTCGTTATTCACTTCACATAGTATATTTTACAAAGAGATTGTAGTGAAATAAGATGTTTTAAACGAAAGTCTTCTAAAATATTTTTAACTGAAACCTTGTAGTTAAAAGTTGATTTAACTGCCATTCGCCATAAGAAATTCCACGGATATTTGCCAATAAAATTTATAACTGAATATTAAATTCACAATTAAGCGGCAAATGAATACCTTCGAAAGCCGTAAAATATACAATCGTAAATAATAATCATTCAATTCGTCAATGATGGCGACTTTGTAATGCATTAACCGAATGCGCTATCGTACTTTTTGCACATTGTCATAAATATACCGGGGCCGATCTGACGGCGAGTTTACGTTGGTTATAGCCGGTTTTGTAATATCGATGAGAAGAGACTGCGGGAGTCGATACTCGTTGCTCGTGCGTGCAATGATGCGCCGGAATGCATCGGGGGCGCAGTGTTGCTCTGAGACGTGCTGTCGTTATTAACCTATGACCCAGCGACGCGCAATCGAGCCAACCCCATAATGTAATCAGCCGATAATTATCGCTTAAGATTATGACGGTACTTCGCTGTTTTGCCCGCGATGATCTAAGAAATCAGAATCAGTTTGCTTTTATCATATAAGCCTGGAAAAACTCTAAGAATAACCAATTTTCCTCACGTGTTGCGCGATTTGTTTATTTTCGTGACGTAACACGTAACTTTAACAATAAGGATCGTAGACTTTAATTTCATCTTTTTTTATAAGACTTTTAATTCTTAAAGATTTGGAATATGTGTGTGTGTGTGTGTGTGTGTCCAAGTAGAGATTTGAAAAGTCTCACGAGAGGAAAATTAAATTACAGAACGAGCGAATTTACTTAAATCTTGATTTTTTTATAATTTTCTCCCTCAATCCCACAAAATTTCAGAAACTATACTTTGCTCAATACTAATAAAATATTAAACAATATTCCTACGAACTACCGCAGCAAAAATTGTGTCCTAAGTTCAAGTTGAATCACTAATAGCCCGTTTTCATAAATTCGCCGTCAATACCGATGCAGCGAAGTCAATTAAAAGTTTCCAAAGCATCGCGGAATGAGGCTATCGCAATGGGGACGCTTCTCGTATTGCGGTGTCTGGTCTCATCCCAACACTCGTTTCGAAACAAGCTTTCTCGAATTCTCTCGCGCAGACTCGGCCACTCGGAAGCAAGCGGTTTAATACGTCATCAATTCATCCATGACGTCATACGAGGGTGAAACAACGACGTCACCGTTTTCCCCCTCCTCCCTCCCGCGCGTCCCTCTATGACGGTACCTACGCCACTCTTATCGGACGCTTCTGCGCGTAGGTCAGTTACGGGGGGGGGGGACGCAGCGAGGTATGTTGTCAAGTGGGGAGAAGGAGACAGGGTGAGTCGGGGTGCGAGGGAGAGCGACGGAGATGGGATGCGACGCAGGTAACTCTCTTCCGTCGTCGACTTCAACCACCGCCGCCGCGTGGCCTCCATTCATGCGTCACCCGATGCACCCCGCGCGCGCGCGCCCACCTAGCCCCTTCGCGCGCTCTTTTGCGTGTTTCCACGTTATCTCTCGCTCTCTCTCTTTCTCTCTCTCGATCTTCCGGCACGCGCTGCACGCGTGGCAAAGCGGAGGCGTCAGCACACGAGTCGACGTCGCCCCGGTTTAATCAACCGTAAAGACGGGCACTTCGACACGTGACGAAACGCTGATAGCTCGTGGCTGACTCTGCACCATCACCCCGATGCGTGCCGTCACCTGTGTGAAGCGTCCGCTGATCCGGAAGAGCGCCGATTGAGGGGTAAGGTCGACTTCGATCCGGTCGCAGCGGGGTGAAATCGGCGCGACACGCTGCTCTCGGAGCGCGGAGAACGCTCTTGCCTCCGAGTCAAAGTAACGAGCGGTGAGAAGCCGTTCATCTTCACGAGCACGTCTCATTGTGAGTATATATCAACGGTTTTTTTTCGTCTCTGATGTACAGTATATAAATTGACATATAAGCAATTTTTCAGTTTTGTATATATATATACATATAAAGGTTCAATTATGCTCCTCGATTTAATTATATTCTAAGGATTGAAACTCCCAATGTGTGTTGCAAAAATTTTTTATTATAGAAATTTGTAGGCGTGCGCTCGCTTACACACACACACACACACACACACACACACACAGACGCGTAGATAAATTTATTACCTTCAAAGAGATAGAACCTGTGTGCGATTGTGAAAACTTAATCGACAATGCGAGGCAAGAACAACGCGCAATAATAAGAATTGACTGACATTCACGATAATACAACGGGCGCGATTATCGCGACGATCGTGTCGTGAGATGTACATAAATGTCAGTAATAAGATAAAGGCGGATAAAGTCATTTGCCTCTCGGAGGAATCGCGTTGATTTCGACAAGACAACGATCGACTGTGAACGGCGCGTACCCCCGGGCTAGCAGTGCGTATATAATATATATCTATATATATTTCCAATGTTCCAATCGGCTCGTTATCGGCGAACGTACAAGCGGACAAGGCTGAGACAGCTTGAAACAATCGGCTATCATCGATAAAATTCTGACAATTGAAGGATATATGTTATAATTGAAATTATCCGGTCTTTCTTCATTCAGTTTCGTGGTTCGCGCGTCGCTCGTTATAATCATGATTTGGTCATTATGCCAGTAGGTCTATCTGATATTAATGACACGGTATGCAGAGCGTGCAACGCTCGGGCGCCACCTTGGGTAATTAGCGTGCTTGATTAATTAACAACTGTGGCTAATGGCTTCGAAATAAATTATCGATCTCTCTCGCGTGTGTTTTCCGAGGTAATTTTGAACTTTTTTTTTTGAAGACGCGCGAGTACTAATAGTAATGCATGTCTGTACGCAAGTATGTCACTTATTATTGTTTCGTCACTACTCTGATGTCATTTGTGAGACGAGAAAATGGAGCACACACGTGCTAAGATTATTTCGAGCCTTGTGAGGTTAAAGGCATTTGCCCGTAGCTAAGAGACAAAAATGGATACAGACCGATGATAATTTATAATGCATCTTACTTGATACAAATACCATTGAATATTCATAAACGTCAAAGAATAGAACGTACAGAAAATATCATGACGATCGAAACAATCAAAAATTTTAATTTTTTATTTGTATAACTTGATATCTGCTTTTTATTTATAAATTATTACACAACGATTTAATAAAACTACGAATCTGCAAGAAATATTTTGCAGCAAAAAAGTTACTTTTATCGAAAAATCTAGGTTAGCTCTACATATGCCATTCAAGAATATTACTTTATATTCTTTATCTGATATATGCGTTGGTCAAAATTATGTAAATAATTCAAATTTATCAAAAATATAGTTTTGCAACTTTATCGCGTATCCATTTCTGTCCCTTGAAACAACTATGCATGAAATAACCATGTGATTATTCGATCAACCATAAAACGGTTATCACGAACCCACTAGATCGAGAAAAGCACGAGATGCAGCAGGAAAAGGGAATAAGGTCGTTCGTAATCGATACACGGAACAGAACCTTCCGACAACGCTCGTCGTAATGATAATCACGGGATGAGACACGTGTCTGATTTAAAACAGATGAATCTTAATTTGCTTAAAAAGCAGTTTGCCTCAAGATGGTAATATTATGATGCAGATACAAAAATAAGTCGCATTTTTTTCGCCTTGTGTGCTTAATGCACCGAGAAAAAAAATTTGTTAATCTCAAAAAATATTTAGTCCGATACGTTCAACTAAACATTTTAGTTAGTTAACTAAACATTTGTTGAATTAATTAATTCTTGATTAAAGAAACTAAATAAATTGAAACAACTAATGTTTAGTTAATTAAAACTGAAATGTTTAGTTGAACGTATTGGACTAAATATTTTTTCAAATTAACAATTTTTTTTCTCACGACGGAACCTCGTGAACTCGAAAATTCTGATTTTAATAAAACTTTCCACACATGTAGAAGGGATAAAAAGATAAATTTAGAAATTTTTTGTTGCTGCTCAAAAACGGTCTTAAGGGGTGAAATTACTACTCATATATGTAGAGCGGCTTTTTGCTTTTCTCGATATATTTCGAAAAATATTCGAGATATCAAAAAATGTGTTAAATAAAAGTTTTATGGTAAAAACATC